GCTGAGGCAGTAGGATCTCTTGAGCCCAGGAGTTGGAGGCTACAGTGAACTAGGAGGGTACCACTGCTCTCCAGCCTGGGTGACTGTAAGAGGAGAGAGAAAGGGCCGGAACGGTGGCTCACGCCTGTTATCCCAGCACTTTAGGAGGCTGAGGCGGGTAGATCACAAGGTCAGGAGTTTGAGATCTTCCTGGCTAACACAGTGAAACCCTGTCTCTACTAAAAATATAAAAATTAGCTGGACATGGTGGCATGTGCCTGTAATCCCAGCTACTCAGGAGGCTGAGGCAGGAGAATCCCTTAAACCCTGGAGGCGGAGGTTATAGTGAGCCGAGATCATGCCACTGCACTCCAGCCTGGCAACAGAGCAAGACTCCATCTCAGAAAAGATAGAAAAAAACAGTTCCTAGACTGGAGCAGGTGTTTGCAATAACGTGTCCAACAAAGGATGCCCCAGGGAGGGAAACGGGCAACAGATGGGAACAGGAGCTGTTTGGAAGAGTCTGTGAAACGGTGCTTGGCTTCTCTGCACAACAAGGAAACGTTCTTAGTGCCACATTGTGGAATGGCTGGAAGGACAAGGACTGCTCACACTGGCTCAGTATCTATCAAGCAGAGCATGTCCCCACCCTGTGACCCAGAGCTTCTTCTCCCAGATAAATTCCCAGGAGAACTGCAAACCAAACACGTGTTCCTGAGTGTGCACAGCCCACATGCCCAGCCGTGGGAACTGGGCATGGCTGGTGTGGGACCTGCTGCTGCACTTGGCAACAGGGACAGCAAGGAGGGCTCAGGCCAGGCCAGGCGTGGGGAGTCCCCTGTGTGCTTCAACATCACCAAGTTCAAGAAGCAGCCAACCTCGGCTCAGGGTCACCCCTAGGGGAAGCATGACAGGAGCAGATCTTTAGACTTGCACTTAAGTTCCCATGGAGGGACAGTCCCCTTTGTGGGGCCTGATATGAGCATGGGAGCAGAGGTGGGGGCTCTGACATCAGAGGTGAGTGGGTGCATATCCGGAGGACTCCGGGTTTCATTCCAACTGAGGGAGGCTGCAACATGTCCCTCTTTTTTTTTTTTTTTTTTTTTTTTTTTTTTTTTTGAGACGGAGTTTCACTCTTGTTACCCAGGCTGGAGTGCAATGGCGCGATCTCGGCTCACCGCAACCTCCGCCTCCTGGGTTCAGGCAATTCTCCTGCCTCAGCTTCCTGAGTAGCTGGGATTACAGGCATGCGCCACCATGCCCAGCTAATTTTTTGTATTTTAGTAGAGACGGGGTTTCACCATGTTGACCAGGATGGTCTCGATCTCTGGACCTCGTGATCCACCCGCCTCGGCCTCCCAAAGTGCTGGGATTACAGGCTTGAGCCACCGCGCCCGGCATACATGTCCCTCTTTAATATAGAGGTGAAGGAGGCCCTCGGCACCCCCCCTGCTGCAGCGAAGCTTGAGGACAGAGCCGTCAGGGCACAATGTACCAGAGCAGAATCCTGGGACAGGCGGCTGGGTGGTCTTTATTCATCGAGAATGAAATTTCTCCTAAGGTCCGGAAGGGGGCGCTCTTGCATCTTGGTTTTGTTTTTTATGTCAGCCAGGCTGGAGTGCAGTGACGCAATCTCAGCTCACTGCAACCCCTGCCGCCTGGATTCAAGTGATTCTCCTGCCACCACGCCCAGCTAATTTTTGTATTTTTAATAGAGACACGGTTTCACCATGTTGGACAGGCTGGTATTGAACCCCAGTCCTCATGATCCACCCACCTTGGCCTCTAGAAGTACCAGGATTACAGGCATGAGCCACTGCGCCCGGGGCACCTTGTTTTTTGCTGCCTGTAGCTGTTTCTCATTAGCCTGATGGAGGTGGGGGTTGAAGGTGGCAGGGTGCTATTATAAAGCCTTCTGCTGTATCACAGCCCTGGGGTCTCACTTCCTGCATAAGGAGCTGCCCTCCAGGGCAAGGGCCACAGTATGCAGCAAGCCCTCCATGGCCCCAGGGCAGGGCATTTCAAGCCAAGAGTCTGCACTGTTAGCTGCTGCTTGGAGAATTGAGTGTATCACAAGAATAGTTTTTTTTTTTTTCTCCACTGAAATAGAAACGGGCTTTTGCCACATTGCCCAGGGTGGTCTCAAACTCCTGGGCTCAAGCAGTCCTCCTGCTTTGGCCTTCCAGAGTGCTGAGATTTCAGGCATAGGCCACCGCACCCAGCCTACAACTGGCATTTCTAAAATAAAATTGCATGGTGCACTGCTTTTCACAGAGGAGACGATCGTGTTGGGGCCCCTGTGTCGCTCTTGCCTATGCTGTGTGTCCCTCTTCACAGCGTAGAGGCAGCTCTTGCTGTGCTTTACGGTGTAACAGGTATAAGGTGGATACGGCTATCATGAAGCGAGGGGAGAGCTGTTTGCTTAGAAATCCTGCGGAGAAGAGGATAGGACATGCCGGCTTAGGAGAGGGAAGAGGTAGGTACAGGCCTGCTCTGCCTGAGCTGCAGGTCGGACTCAAAGGGGATTCACGTCTTTCTCCAGGGCCACAGGGTGGCAGGTGCATCTGTAGAAAAGAACATGAGGAGGGCAGAGTGTGGTGGCTCATAATCCCAGCACTTAGGGAGGCCAAGGCGGGCGAATCACCTGAACTCAGGAGTTTGAGAACAACCTGACCAACATGTAGAAACCCCGTCTACTAAAAATACAAGATTAACCTTGTATGGTGGCACAGGTCTGTAATCCCAGCTACTTAGAAGGCTGAGGCAGGAGAATCACTTGAATCCGGGAGGCGGAGGTTGCAGAGAGCCGAGATCAGACCATTGCAGTCCAGTCTGGGCAACAAGAGAACATAAGGAAAGAAGCGGTGCTGATGAGGCACCCGGAGTTGTCATGACCCAAGCTCAGCTCCCCCTTCCCATCAGTCCCATTGGCCACTTTCAGGCTTCATCTGCCTGCCCCTGCTTGGGGACATTCCCTGGCTAGGCCCTTCCTCTGGGCCAAAGCAGAGAGGAAAGTGCATTTGCCATGCATTCTCATTTTCCTAGCCTGCAGACTGGGCTCCATCAGAACAAGGTCAGCTCTCAGAGCTTCTCTCCCCACCCACCGTGTCCTCCTGAGCCACGCTCAGGTATGGGCATAACCTGGTAAGAGCTGGGAGCAGCAGGTGCATGAGGCCTGGCAGCATCTCACCACCACTTGCTGTGCTGAGTGCACCAGGGCATTTCCTGTGGGGCTGAGGGAGGAGTTAGATCAGTTTTCAGCGAGGACAGAGCAGAGATCCAGATGGATCCCAGGCCGGGTGCGGTGGCTCCTGCCTGTAATCCCAGCACCTTCAAAGGCTTAGGAGGGAGGATTGCTTGAGGCTAGAGGTTTGAGACCAGCCTTGGCAAAATAGTGAGACCCCCGTTTGTAAAAAAAAAAAAAAAAAAAATTTCAGCTGTGTGTGATGGTCCTGGCTACTTAAGAGGCTGTGCTAGGAGCTCGCTTGAGCCCAGGGGCTTGAGGCTGCACTCCAGCCCAAGCAACAGAGCATGACCCTGTCTCAAAAACAAATGCACCACGGGCCTGTGTGTGTGGTTGTCTCCGGGGAACATTCCAGAAGCCACAGAAAGCAGGTATGCAAGAAATAGCTCCTGCGCCGAGTTTGAATTTCTCATCCTCTCTGTTCTCAGTGTGGGGTCCTGCTGAGGTGGGGTGAGGGGCCCCTGGGTGGGCGGGCCTGGAGGTGACGCCCGCTGGTTCTGCTTTGCAGCAGCAGTGGACGGCAGCTGAGTGAGGTCTTCATCCAGCTGCCCTCTCGAAAGGAGCTGCCCGAGTACTACGAGCTCATCCGCAAGCCCGTGGACTTCAAGAAGATCAAGGTAACCCTGATGTGCTTCTGCCCCGGGGGGAGTCTGATGCAGGGGCACCCCCATCTGAGTGCGGTGGTGTATGGGAATAATGACCAGAAACCACCTGGGCAGGGCCTTGGGCTACCTGGTTAGGGACCTGTTCATGGGCTTTTTGGGGTTCCTTTTGGGGGTTGGGAGTGTCCCAAGGGATGTCAGTGGGCCATTGGTTTTGGCTGCTCCTTCGAGGTCACACTCCCTCAAGTGCTGGGCCTTGGTCATGCCGTTCCTGTGTCTGGTGAGCTGGGGCTTCAGCCACATAACTCATAGGCATGAGGAATCCTAGCCCTCAGGGTTCCCAGCACGCAACAGGGCCTGCAGCAGGGGAGGCGGGGTCCAGAGGTGAGACCTGCTCTTCCCACCCCTTGCAGGAGCGCATCCGCAACCACAAGTACCGCAGCCTCAATGACCTGGAGAAGGACGTCATGCTGCTGTGCCAGAACGCGCAGACCTTCAACCTGGAGGGCTCCCTGGTAAGGGCACCGCTTGGGGGTGGGGATGGGCCACTCCCACAACTGGGCTTTGAACCAGCCCACCTCTCCGTCCCTTCTGAATTGACGGGTTAAAAACAATTCCCTGGCCAGGCGTGGTGGCTCACACCTGTAATCCCAGCACTTTGGGAGGCCAAGGCAGGTGGATCACCTGAAATTAGGAGTTCAAGACCAGCTTGGCCAACATGGTGAAACCCCATCTTTACTCAAAATACAAAAATTAGCTGGGCATGGTGGCAGGCACCTGTAATCACAACTGCTTGGGAGGCTGAGGCAGGAGAATCGCTCGAGTCCCAGAGGCGGAAGTTGCGGTGAGCCAAGGTCATGCTGTTGAACTCCAGCCTGGGCAACGAGAGTGAAACCCAGTCTCAAAACCAAAAAACCACCACCACCAAAAAGAACCACACAATTCCTGCAAGGTGTGGTGGTTCATGCCTGTAATCCCTGCACTTTGGGAGTCTGAGGCAGGAGGATCACATGAGACCAGGAGTTCAAGACCAGCCTGGGAAACATAGCAAGACCCTGTCTCAAAAAAATTTTTTTTAATTTCGAACAACTTGGGATATTTTAGTAATTACAAAAACCATGAGTATTTACTGAAGAAAATAAAGATAGGCACAACAGAAGAAGTAGACAGAGTCCTCTGTCTGTTGGAATTTTATTTAAATTCCTTGGGGCACACTGTCTTCAAAGGAACGCTATGGATGTGTTCTTGCCCGTGATGGAATTGACACACATACACAGCCTCAGCTTGGCAAAGTTCTCTTAGTGTGTTTGGGATCAATACCCCTCAGAAAAACAGATTTGATTTTGATGAATTTGGGGAAGATGCTGGCTTCCACACGGAGCTTGCATTTTTTTTTTTTTTTTTTACACGGAGTCTTACTCTGTCACCCATGCTGGAGTGATCTCAGCTCACTGCAACCTCAACCTCCTGGGTTCAAGTGATTCTCCTGCCTCAGCCTCCAGAGTAGCTGGGACTATAGACACCTGCCACCACACCCAGCTATTTTTGCATTTTTAGTAGAGATGGGGTTTTACCATCTCTACTAAATGGTAAGGATGCTTACCATTGGCCAGGAGGCTCTTGATCTCTTGACCTCCTAATCCTCCTGCCTGGGCTGGGATTACAGGCGTGGGCCACCTCGCCCAGCCCTAGGGGCATGCATTTCTAATGTTATTGCAGACCTTCTCCAGAAAGAGGAAGGCACCTGCAGCCAGTCCCAAACCAGTGTGCCTGAGCATTCATCCTGGAGCACTGAAGAAGCCTGTTGCTCTTTGGGGTACCTGTGCAGGACGATTATAGAGAGGGCCCTCCACCTTGGGTGGGCTGAAGCCCCAGCCCACTGAGACTCGTACTGGCCACTGATGAGCTGTCCAGGGGCAAAACAGGGCTGGTGCTGGGGCCAGGCAGGCAGCCCTCCCATCGGGCCCATCCACTCAAGCCCCTGGTGTCTCCACCCAGATCTATGAAGACTCCATCGTCCTGCAGTCAGTCTTCACCAGCGTAAGGCAGAAGATTGAGAAGGAGGATGACAGTGAAGGCGAGGAGAGTGAGGAGGAGGAAGAGGGCGAGGAGGAAGGCTCCGAATCTGAGTGTGAGTCCCTCGGGGGTTCAGGATGCCAGGGTTCACGCTGGTCTGAGAGCCCCCAAGGCCCCAGCTGTTCACAGCCCTCCCAGCTCCCAGATGCCCCTTGCTGTAGAGGTGCTGTGTTCCCAGAGCTCACAGCTCCCTTTTCCTTCTGGTCCCCTCCAGCTCGATCTGTCAAAGTGAAGATCAAGCTTGGCCGGAAGGAGAAGGCACAGGACCGGCTGAAGGGCAGCCGGCGGCGGCCGAGCCGAGGGTCCCGAGCCAAGCCGGTCGTAAGTGACGATGACAGTGAGGAGGAACAAGAGGAGGTGAGGCTGGGCCCCGGGGCAGGCGGGGCAGGTGGGGCAGGCAGGGCTGGCGGGCAGCAGGAGGCAGCCCAGGGCCCTGACGGGATGGCCCTACGGGGCAATACTCCCACTCTGCAGATGGGGAAACTGAGGCTTCACGTTCCATGGCTGGCCCGTGGTCACACAGCAAGTACGTGGCAGAGCTGCCACTTAAGCCCAGGCCTGTGTGACCCTAAAACCAGCTATCAATACCTGTGCATGTCTGGGGACTGGGGGACCTGAGGTCTCAGGATGGACAGGAGGTGGGCCTAGGGCACCAGCGTCTGGGGTGAGGCTGGGCAGGCCAGGGGTTGATTGGGGTCAGGTGGGAGGTGCCAGGATTGAGGACCCACCAGGCAGTGCCCCATCTCCTTAGTGGCACACAGTGGAAAGTTTCTGGGGGGGCAGTGGGGGAGCCTGAACAGATACATTTACTGGCTTTTTTTGAGACAGAGTCTCACTCTATTGCCAGGCTGGTATGCAGTGGCATCATTTCAGCTCACTGCAACCTGTACCTCCTGGCTTCAAGCGATTCTTCTGCCTCAGCTGTCACCCCAAGTAGCTGTGACTACAGGCACATACCACCACGCCCCATGATTTTTTTGTATTTTAGTAGAGATGGTGTTTCACCGTTTGGCCAGGATGGTCTCGATCTCCTGACCTTGTGATCCACCCGCCTCGGCCTCCTAAAGTGCTGGGATTACAGGTGTGAGCCACTGCGCTTAGCCCCCTTGCTAGCTATAAATAAGATACGTCGTCTTTGTCTCTGGCCCTTCCTGGCTATGGGACCTGGCAGGCCACTCTGCTTCTGAAAGCTTCAGCTTCCTCTTAGCAAACAAGGAGGCTGCGTGGATTATGGGGGCTGCCCCCGCTCGAGGCCTGGCTCCCACCAAAGCCTGATGAATGCCATTTGGTCATTACAGAAGTAGGAAATGTCTGTGCCTGGGAATTAGTCTGACAAAACAGGCACGTGACCTTTGAGGACATTCATGAAGTCCTCATGGGGAAGGGAGGCCCGTGTGTCAGACAGGAGGGTCTGGGCTGTAGTGGCATCTCTCTTGCCCAACCCAGAACAGCGTGTTTTATGGCCCATGCCAGGCTTAAAAAGGCTTTATGAGGCCGGGCATGGTGGCTCACGCCTATAATCCCAGCACTTTGGGAGGCTGAGGCGGGTGGATCACGAGGTCAAGAGATCGAGACCATCCTGGTCAACAAGGTGAAACCCCGTCTCTACTAAAAATACAAAAATTAGCTGAGCATGATGGTGCACACCTGTAGTCCCAGCTACTCGGGAGGCTGAGGCAGGAGAATTGCTTGAACCCAGGAGGCAGAGGTTGCGGCAAGCCGAGATTGTGCCATTGCACTCCATTCTAGGTAACAACAGCAAAACTCCGTCTCCAAAAAAAAAAAAAGGCTTTATGAGGCCAGGCCTGGTGGCTCACACCTGTTAATCCCAGCACTTTGGGAAGCTGAGGCAGGAGGATTACTTGAGCCTGGGAGGTAGAGGCTGTAGAGAGCCATAATCGCACCACTGCACTTCAGCCTGGGCAACAGAGCAAGACCCTGTCTTAAAAAAAATTTTTTTTTTTTTTTTTTTTAATAAAAATAAAAGGACTGGGCACGGTGGCTCGTGCTTGTAATCCCAACACTTTGGGAGGCCAAGGCGGGTGAATCACAAGGTCAGGAATTCAGAACCAGCTTGAACTACATCGTGAAACCTGTCTCTACTAAAAATATAAAAATTAGCCAGGTGTGGTGGCACACGCCTGTAATCCCAGCTACTCAGGAGGCTGAGGCAGGACAATTGCTCGAACCCAGTAGGCGGAGGTTGTAATGAGCCAAGATCGCACCACTACACTCTGTCTCAAAAAAAAAAAAAAAATTACATGAAAGCGCAAAGATCTTTCGCAGTCAGGAAGAGCCAAAATGTTTTGGAAGCTGTAGGTCAGGGGCCCAAGGCCAGGCAAGTGACATGGGACAGAGCAGGGAAGGCACATGGAGCCTCACGGGTCCCAAGAGAGTGAGTGTGGGCACAGGGACTGCTGCTCTAGAGAAACATGAAGTTGGGGTGTGGCCGTGGTTGCGGCAGCTTCTGTGGCCAGCGTCAGTTTTTTTTTTCTTGAGCAAGTTTATTTAATGCTTGGCAGGCCTCTGGCAGGGGCAGCTAACACTCACTCTCTCCTGTCTCCTCTCCAGGACCGCTCAGGAAGTGGCAGTGAGGAAGACTGAACCCCGACATTCCAGTCTCGACCCCGAGCCCCTCGTTCCAGAGCCGAGATGGCATAGGCCTTAGCAGTAACGGGTAGCAACAGACGTAGTTTCAGACTTGGGATAAAACTGTATAAACAAAAGAATCTTCCATATTTATACGGCAGAGAAGCTGTAGGACTGTTTGTGACTGGCCCTGTCCTGGCATCAGTAGCGTTTGTAACAGCATTAACTGTCTAACAGAGAGAGAGAGAGAATTCGGAATTGGGGAACACACGATACCTGTTTTTCTTTTCCTTTCCCGGCAGTTTGGAGTCACTGTAGTTCAGCGTGGATGCATGTGCGTCACCGTCCACTCCTCGTACTGTATTTTACTGGACAGGTCAGACTCGCCGGGGCCCGGCGAGGGTATGTCAGTGTCACTGGATGTCAATCAGTAATAAATTAAACCAACAACAAAACGCACAGCCTACAGGTGGACTCATGCCTGGCTCCCCGGGTTTCTGCCAGCAGTAGTGGCGGGGCCACCTCATGTCCAGGTCCCCGTCCTCCCAGCACCAGAACCCATGGGGCCCATTTCACAGAGGAGGATCCTGAAGACGTGGCAGGGAGAGAGGACTTGCCTGGCTATGCAGGTGGCCTTTGCTGCCACAGCTCTCCAGCATGCATTCACCTGGGTCCTACGGTGCGGGGAGCAGGTGGCTCTGTCCCTTCCCTGCCTGTGGCCAGGGCTGGGTTGTGGAGACCCTCACAGAAACGGGCAGACGTCACATAGAGCTCTCGGTCAGGCCCATTCTGCAGGAAGCTCAGGGCATAAAGCGCAGGAAGCCCGGTGGTCAGGAAGGGCTTCTAAATCCAGAAAATAATTTGAGGTTTTCTTTTTTGTTTCTTTTTTGACACGAAGTCTGTGTCGCCCAGGCTAGAATGTAGAGGCGTGATCTCGGCTCACTGCAACCTCTGCCTCCCAAGTTCAAGCCGTTATCCTGCCTCAGCCTCCTGAGGAGCTGGTGTTAAAGGCCACCATGCCCAGCTAATTTTTTGTATTTTTAGTAGAGACTGGCTTTCATCATGTTGGCCAGGCTGCTCTGAAACTCCGACCTCAGGTGATCCACCCGCCTTGGCCTCCCAAAGTGCAGAGAATAGCCTGGCCATTAATTTTTGTGTTTTTCTTAGAGGCGGGGTGTCAGCATGTTACCCAGGCTGGTCTCGAACTCCTGAATTCAAGCAATCCTCCTACCTCACCCTGTTTTATAAATCAAGACAGGGTATTGCTCTGTTGCCCAGGCTGGAGTGCAGCAATGCAGTCAGCTCACTACAGCCTCAATTCAGAGCTCAGATAATCCTCCTCCTGCAGCCTCCACAGTATCTGGGTCCACAGAAGTGTGCCACCAAGCCCAGCATCGATTTTTAATAGCGGCTTTGCAGTCTTTAAGTCTGACATGTTGGCCAGGGTGGTCTTGAGCTCTTGACCTCGTGATCCATCTGCCTCAGCCTCCCCAAGTGCTGCGATTACACTGTGCTCGGCGGCTCTTGTTTTTCTTTTGAAGGAGTCACCCCTGGGTCAGCTGAGCTGAGACGTCAGTTGGTGATTGGTCAGAACTTTCGTCCAAACGCTGAGTTAGTGGCTCTGCCCAGGCAGTTTGCAGGCTGGCCCTACCTTTGCTTTCTGCCCGTGGTTCCTCTCGGGGTGCACTTGAGTTCTGCTGGGCAGAGACATGCATCAGGCTCTCTTTGGAGCGACCTCAGGTGATCTGCCCGCCTTGGCTTCCCCAAGTCCTGGGATTCCTGGCATGAGCCACCGTGCCTGGCAAAAAAAAAAAATTGAGATGAGTGTCGGTCTGTCACCAGGCTGGAGTGCAGTGTCACAATCTCAGCTCACTGCAACCTCTGCCGCCTGGGTTCAAGCATTTCTCCTGCCTCAGCCTCCCAAGTAGCTGGGACTACAGGCATGTGCCACCACACCCAGCTAATTTTTATATTTTTTAGTAGAGATGGGTTTTTACCATGTTGGCCTGGTAGTCTGGATCTGTTGACCTTGTGATCCACCCACCTCAGGCTCCTAATGTGCTGCGATTACAGGTGTGGGCCACCGTGCCCGGCCCAAAAAAAAATTTTTAAGGAAAATAATTTTTAAGAGAAAAAATGAGGGGAGCCTACAGAAACAACTTTGTGTGACCACCTGTGCGAAGCCCATTTGTGGGGTCCCGGGGACATATTAGCTACAGTGAAGGTGGGTGGTCCGGGCTGCAGCCCCAGCTGGCCCAGATCTCAGACATCGACCTTGGCCTGGAACCAGCTTGGTCCCTATGTGGACAGTGAGCCCAAGCCAGGGGCCTCCTTCACCCACGTGAGGTGACAGCTGCCAGCTGGCCGCTGCCCTTCCTGCCCTTGCTCACCACACGTGCCCCTCGGGCAGCTCTCTCTCTCAGTCCTGCTGCCCAGCGCCTTTCTCCAAACAACCCCCAGGGCTGCGGGACTTCATTCCTGTTTCCCACATGATGCAAGTGCGGCTCAGGGAGGTTGAACCGCTGGCCTAAGGCTACACTGATCTGAGCCGGGCTTTGGGGAGCACGCAAGTCCTCAGGGGCTGCTACCTGCTCTGGGGTCTGAAGCCAGGGACACTAAGACTTGAAGGTTAAGTGGTCCCCTGGAACCGAGTGGTGGACTAAGCAATGGGGGAACAGGTGGGTGTGTCCCCAGGAGTGGCTTCCACAAGACACGACTGAGTGGGACCTTAAAGCTGAAGCATCGACGGTCAAGGCATGATGGGAGCCCATGGGGTGCCCTGACACGGCCTGGACTAGGAGGGGTACTAGGAAGAATAGGGACCTCACACCTGGTAGGTGGCCAGGTTCTTTCCCATCCCACAGGCTCTCCTAGAGTTTTTTTTTTTTAAACAGTATTGCTCTGTCGCCCAGAATGGAGTACAGTGGCGCCAGAGCTTCCAGCGTAGCTGGGACTACAGGCACACACCCACGCCCAGTTAATTTTTGTGGGTTTTTTGTTTTTTGAGATGGAATCTTTTTTTTTTTTGAGGCGGAGTTTCGCTCGTTACCCAGGCTGGAGTGCAATGGTGCGATCTCGTCTCACCGCAACCTCCGCCTCCTGGGTTCAGGCAATTCTCCTGCCTCAGCCTCCTGAGTAGCTGAGATTACAGGCACACGCTACCATGCCCAGCTAATTTTTGTATTTTTAGTAGAGACGGGGTTTCACCAAGTTGACCAGGATGGTCTCGATCTCTTGACGTCGTGATCCACCCGCCTTGGCCTCCCAAAGTGCTGGGATTACAGGCGTGAGCCACCGCGCCCAGCCCAGAGTCTTACTCTTGTGGCCCAGGCTGGAGTGCAATGGTGCAATCTTGGATCACAGCAACTTCCACCTCCCAGGTTCAAGTGATTCTCCTGCCTCCGCCTCCCAACTAGCTGGGATTACAGGCATGCACCAGCACACCTGGCTAATTTTTTTTTTGTATTTTTAGTAGAGACGGGGTTTCTCCATGTTGGTCAGGCTGGTCTCGAACTCCCGACCTCAGGTGATATGTCTGCCTTGTCCTCCCAAAGTGCTGGAATTATAGGCGTGAGCTACCACGCCCAGCAATTTCTGTATTTTTAGGAGAGGTGTGGTTTTGCCATGTTGGCCAGGCTGGTCTCGAACTCCTGACTTCAGGTGATCTGCCTGCCTCATCCTCTGAAAGTGCTGGGATTACAGGCATGAGCCACTGTACCTGGCCTCTCCTAGAGTCTTGAACTCCTGACCTCAGGTGATCCACCCACCACTCCCGGCCTCTCCTAGAGTCTTGCTCCCATCATGGAGTCTTATTTTGCTTCCCTTGAGTTTGGGTGGATTTGGGACTCACTGGTAACCAACAGAGTTCAATAGAAGTGACATCATGCAACTACTAACAGGAGGTCACAAACCACCACGGCTCTGCCTTGCTCACTCGCTCTTGAATCTCCAGTTGCCATATAACAGCCTGACTGCCTTTTGGCCGGAACTGCCATTTTCCAGTAATTCGCCAGAATGACGGACACAAAGGGAAAGAGGAGAGGCACTCGATACGTGTTCTCCAGGCCTTTTAGAAAACACGGAGTTGTTCCTTTGGCCACGTAGATGCGAGTCTATAAGAAAGGTGATACTGTAGACATCAAGGGGACGGGTACTGTTCACAAAGGAACGGCCCACAGGTGTTATCATGGCAAAACTGGAAGAGTCTACAGTGTTACCCAGCATGCTGCTGGCATTGTTGTAAACAAACAAGTTAAGGGCAAGGTTCTTGCCAAGAGAATTAATGTGCATATTGAGCACATCAAGCACTCAAAGCCGAGATAGCTTCCTAAAACGTGTGAAGGAAAATGATCAGAAAAAGAAGGAAGCCAAAGAGAAAGGTCCCTGGGTCCAACTGAAGCGACAGCCTGCTCCACCCAGAGAAGCACACTTTGTGAGAACCAATGGGAAGGAGCCTGAGCTGCTGGAACCCTGTGAATTCATGGCATAATAGGTGTTCAAAGAAAATAAATAAATAAAAGACCTCTGGACTGTAAAAAAAAAAAAAAAAAACAGCCTGACTTCCTAGAGCTTGCCCTTTTGTGAGGAAGCCCAACCAAGCCCGTGCTATAAGACCACCAAGACCATGGGAACAGAGAGCAATGGCTGCCCCAGCCCCAGCCTTCAGCTGTCATGAGCTGTATCAAAGACCCTGGGCCTATACTGCCACGCTGAGCCCTTCCCACACTCCTGACCGATAAAACCACGAGAGCAAATAAACCCACTGTTTGAAGTCACAGAGCTGCTAGGCAACTAGTCACTGGAACATCATAAAACAATTTTTTTTTTTTTTGAGACCGAGTTTCGCTGTTGTTACCCAGGCTGGAGTGCAACGGCACGAACTCGGCTCACCGCAACCTCCGCCTTCTGGGTTCAGGCGATTCTCCTGCCTCAGCCTCCCGAGTAGCTGGGACTACAGGCACGCACCACCATGCCCAGCTAATTTTTGTATTTTTACTAGAGACGGGGTTTCACCTTGTTGACCAGGATGGTCTCGATCTCTTGACCTCATGATCCATCCGCCTCGGCCTCCCAAAGTGCTGAGATTACAGGCGTGAGCCACCGCGCCCGGCCTAAAACAATTTTTTTTTTTAATTTTTTATTGCATTTTAGGTTTTGGGGTACATGAGCTGAACATGCAAGACAGTTGCATAGGTACACACATGGCAGTGTGTTTTGCTTCCTTTCTCCCCTTCACCCACATTTGGCATTTCTCCCCAGGCTATCCCTCCCCAGCTCCCCCTCCCACTGGCCCTCCCCTTTTCCCCCCAATAGACCCCAGTGTTTAGTGTACTCCCCTCCCTGTGTCCATGTGTTCTCATTTTTCATCACCCGCCTATGAGTGAGAATATGTGGTGTTTCATTTTCTGTTTTTGTGTCAGTTTGCTGAGAATGATGTTCTCCAGATTCATCCATGTCCCTACAAACGACACAAACTCATCATTTCTGATTGCTGCATAATATTCCATGGTGTATATGTGCCACATTTTTCCAATCCAGTCTATCTTCAATGGGCATTTGGGTGGGTTCCAGGTCTTTGCTATTGTAAACAGTGCTGCAATGAACATTCGTGTGCATGTGACCTTATAGTAGAATGATTTATAATCCTTTGGATATATACCCAGTAATGGGATTGCTGGGTCAAATGGAATTTCTATTTCTAGGTCCTTGAGGGATCGCCACACTGTCTTCCACAATGGTTGAACTAATTTACACTCCCACCAACAGTGTAAGAGTGTTCCTTTTTCTCCACATCCTCTCCAGCATCTGTTGTCTCCCCTAAAACAATTTTTTAAATGACAGGGATTTAATTAAACATGGAAAGATCTTGAGAACATTGTTGAGGATGGAGAAAGGGATGGCAGCTGAGATGGTCTCCTTAGGAGTGCTGAACAGTGAAGCAGATGTCCCGCTAGATGCCAGTTTGGACACACACTGGATCCCGGATATGTATTGTGGACCATATCACTTCTAATCACATTTAGAGAAAGCTGTGTCAGGACACACCCCAAAACACAACACCCTGAACTGCTGCTATTACCCTTGGCAGTGGGGGAGGGAAGAGTGGAGTTAAGAGATTCCCCAAGGTGGTCAGGTCATCTGGCCATTTTATTTTTGAGATGGAGTTTCGCTCTTTTTTTTGCCCAGGCTGGAATGAAGTGGCACCATTTCAGTTAGTTCACTGCAACCTCTACCCCCAAGTTCAAGTGATTCATTCTCCTGCCTCAGCCTCCCACGTAGCTGGGATTATGGGCACCTGCCACCATGCCCAGCTAATTTTTATATTTTCAGTAAAGACAGGGTTTTGCCATATTGGCCAGACTGGTCTCAAACTCCTGACCCCAGGTGATCCACCTGCCTTGGCCTCCGAAGTGCTGAGATGACAAGTGTGAGCCACCGCACCCAGCCCCCTAGCTGTTTTCAGAACCACTTTTTGGGCTGGGTGCGGTGGCTCATGCCTGTAATCCCAGCACTTTGGGAGGCCAAGACCATCCTGGCTAACATGGTGAAACTCCGTGTCTACTAAAAATACAAAAAATGAGCCGGGTGTGGTGGCACATGCCTGTAATCCCACCTACTCAGGAGGCTGAGGCAGGAGAATCATTTGAACCTGAGAGGCGGAGGTTGTGATGAGTCGAGTCTGTGCTACCGCACTCCAGCCTGAGTGACAGAGTAAGACTCTGTCTCAAGAAAAAAAAATTACCTGCTGGAGTGTTAATATAAATGAGGTGTCCAGAGCCCAGCTACTCCCAGTTGACC